GAGGCCCGACATGGGCCATGTCAACCCTAAATGCCACGAAACCTGAAGTGAAGCCGCAACACGAGACAAGAGCTGGAGCTGACTCTCCTCGTCCCCCATCCCCTTCCTCCAGGACTTCCGATACCAGAAGGCCATGGTCCTTGACCAGACCCTCTGCCGCAAGTTCGGGCTGGCCCTTACGGGTCGCGTCTCTGCTAGGGATCCAACGTTTTGAACAGTACGCCTGGCGGGGTGGAATGGGGCGATGCCATGCAGATGCGCAGCCACGCGCTGCTCTTGTCACACTCCACGTCTACCGTAGCGTAAACCCTACAGAAAACCGAAAACTCTAAACCTTTTCAAGCCCTGGCCAAGCCCTGAACCGTAAACGCTGGTGGTCCCGAACCCTAAACCATATGCACAAGACCCCAAGGAAAGCCCTGTACTGTAACATAGTTTGTTAAACCCAAGGAACTCCACATGCGTTCAACTCCGGAACGGCTTAATTACTAAGCTCCTCTAAGACCCCAAGGAAAGAGCGTTAAACCCCGACCAATCCGGCAAACACGTTTTGAAATCCCTGCGACCCCAAGCTCCCAGAGAAACAGCTCTAACACCTCAATAAACCCTGAGAGGACACCATACAGCCCCACTGAGACCTGGTAGCCCCCGGGCTCCAAAACCAACGGATTGGGTGGTTGAAAGGGGCGTCTAGGGTTTCTGTGTGGGCCATTGTGGGGTCTTCTTCAATTGGGATATGTTACAGTGTGGTTACTCCTGTACGGGCCATGCGCGACTATTCCTACTAATGATTCAGACCTCGTTATCGTAGACGCCTTGCAAATCCCTGAACACAACCGCTCAAGGAAAGAGCTGGCGTTGATCTTTCGCACCTTCGACGACGACGGCACCGGTGACCTCAGTGCCGAAGAGGTTCGCCAAGAGGGGCAGTATTTTCGCCTCTATAGGTCTCTTCTGCTAGGGTTTATTTGGGCTTCAGAGGTTTTGTAGTGTTCTTGTTTTGTAGGTTTAGGCATTTCTTGTGCTTTTGCGTGGTTTTGCAGCAGTGCTGTTCAACTAGGTTATTGCTGCAGCTGCTGCTGCTACTCCTACGTCCTACTGGCATGGTACATTCGCCCCGGTCAGGTCATCGAGAGCTTCGAGGCGCGAGGCCTTCGCTTCAAGGACTCCGTGCAGCCACGACCCGGCGCCGGATTTAGGGGGCACTTCATTTGCAGCACGGCTCCCACTGCCAAATCGGGATGTCTGGCGTATGACGGTACTTCAGGGCCGAGAGAAGTCGCTCCCACTCTCGATTCCATGTCCTCCCAAACCTTTCCTCCAGGACCAGGAGGACGAGATGAACTTCAAGAATCGCTTGAAGCGCTTCGGCCCGACCTCCTTGACGGAGTTGCGGTCGGTTTAGGGCTTTCTGTGTCATCAGCATTAGTGCTGGTGCCACCGAGCCTGATTCCCAAGTTGGTTTGCGCAAACGAGGTGGTACGCCAGCCAGTAAGTGGACCATGAAGGCCAAACCGGACATCCTAAGAACTACTTTGCATGACACCGTCTGTTGAACATCTGAGAGCCATGCTGTTGCTCGTAGACGACCTTGGACCCGGAAACCCCAACACCATGCGTGCAACAACTCGATAAACTAGTATTCTGGATCCCAGTCTCCACTTTTGAGGCAGATGTTCCGTCAAAAAGCTGGAAACAGGCCTGGCCCGTTGTCGCCCCATTCATGGCAAAGCGAGCACAATAGTCTGTGCGGCCATCAGGTTTAAGAAAGGTAAGGGTGTAGGGAGTCTAACCGCAGCATACCGCAGCGATCACAGCGCTCAGCACGCTTGCCACAGTCATCAGAAGTGGTGTCATCAGATCTGAAAATGCAGCATTTGCACTTCAGAATGATTTCGGTAATTTTGCTGCCTTTGCAAACTGTCAAAACATATTCATCACATAGCCCAAAATCAGGAAGGTTTTATGTTGGGTCTCTTTTGAACTTGGCTGTTTTTCCTTGAACTTTTGCGTTCAGGACCGACAATCGAGAGCCTTGCAGGCCAATATTTCTGCAACGTTGTGAGATGTCAGAGACCCCACGCCTACTCACTTCCATGGTCTACTGCGCTTCAGACTTAGAGCATCCAAGGCCCAAGCCTATGACGTCCATGGTCTAGTCACGAGTGTGTTGCTGATTTCTTTTTTGAAGTGTCTTCTTATGTCCAAGCACGACAAAATGCGAGACGCGCAGGCCGAAACGCACTTTTTTCACAGTACTTCTGTAGCGTGTTTGAGTCAGAGCAGTTTTCACTATTTCAGAGTTCCGTCTTCGGTTTTATTCTTTAGGTTGGATTACATTGTCTTCTGACAAAGCCATAAGTCAAACAGCTAAACTGGCAGAACCAGAAGCCCTTTAATTTCAGCTTTCAGGGTTTGGGATCGCCTTGCAACTTCAGACCGTCTGCAACTTGGCATTCTTTTGCTTCGCGACCTCCGTCGCACCTGCGGGGAAAGGGTG